GGAGGAGCAGGAGAGGAGCCTGCACACGAGGACCTACCTGAGCAGAGGCTGCTGGCAGCCAGGGCCAGCAGTGCCACGCACACCAACTGGGTTCTCATCGTGCTGTCCCGCTAGCAGGGCAAGTCCATAAATCCTAGGGAGAGACGGACAGATAGAGAGACAGAGAGAAAGAGAGTCGCTGCGCGGCAGCTCCGCTCTGCTGCGCTGCTCCCCGCGGGCGGCTGCGGGACCATGCGGGGCGCCCGGACCCTTCCCCAACTATATAAGCCGCGGGGTGATGTCACGGTAGCGCTGCCAGCGCCTCCCGAGGAAGCGCCCTCCCTCCTCCTCCTCTTCCTCCTCCTCCTCCTCCTCGTGCCGCGGCCGCCCCGCCGCCGCTCCGAGCCCGGTGCTCGCAGGCGACGCTCCGCTCGCCTCAAGAGCGCTGTTTTATATATGTATATACGTATATATTGTATATACATATACATGCACATATACGTATATATTTAAGTAGTTGCTTGGGCAGCGGGTGGCAGGGGGAGGAAAGCAGTGGGGCAGGAGTGCGGGCAGTGCTCCGTTTTACCTTTCTTCCCGGTAGGATTTGGGTTTTTTTTTTTCTGTCCCCTTCAAACTGATACGGACCGGACTGATACGGACTCGTGGGGGAGCGGCGGCGCTGCGCGGCCGCGGAGAGTCCGCGGTGCTGCCCCGGGAGGGGAGAGCGGAGCCGCGGGAGCCCGCGTTGCCGCCCTGCGCTGCCCGTCCTGCGCCGCACCTTCAATAGAATGGAAAATAAGTATTTTCATCTCAGGCCCACTGTGAAATATTAATAATTAGTTAATAATAATAGCAATAATGATAATAGAACATGAAAATAATCCGAAATAGAGGGGCAGCTCTATCTAATAGTTAATACGTGAGTCTCTGTCTGTAAAACTGAAGACTGGCATCAGCCTCCATCACTATAGTGCTTTTAGTGTGATTTTTCTCAGATCCGGACAAATGCTCCATCTGTTGAATGCACGTATTTACAATGTGGAACATCTTGCTCTCAGTGAATGCATTTTGGGCTGATGCACATGCCACATATAGCAGGAACGCAGCTGCTGAATGCGTGGTTCTGCTGTCATCTCCACTGTGGAAAGTTTCCTTTGGGGAATAAAAAAAAAAAAAAAAAAAAAAAAAAAAAAAAAAAAAAAAAAAACAAAAAAAAAAAAAAAAAAAAAAAAAACAACGAGCAAATGTGAGCGATGGCAGTGATGAGATCTGTGTTTGTATACGAAAAACTGAAATAGATGCCACAGAAGAAAAAAATATATATATATCAAAGTCCTGCAACAGAAAGCACATAGTGAGAAAAGTTTAATTAACTGATCTCCTTTCTCCCTGAATCACCATTTGCAGCAAAATTTAAATTTGTAACTTCTTTTGTTTCATGCTCGAAGAAATATAAACAGTGACTACCATTTGGTACAGGGCTGTGATTCCAGATGAGTCTTGAGAACACAGATTTTTGCATTCTCTTGGGAATACATCTCTCTGCTTTATTAAGTGGCTTTTAAGTGATTTTTAAAAATCACACTGTACAGGATCTACTAGTGTGCCAGAAAGTTTTGGCTATAGCTCATCTACTTTAGCACAGAGGTTAGATTAGCTGGCCACTCACACTCCCCTCTAGACCTATTTTCTATTATTTCCATGATGTGGAAAGACCAATCTGCAGCTGATTTTGCTCTGTGGGTGTTCTGCAGTTCAGAAAGCTCTATGAATGAGAATCATATTTCATAGATATTTTCTAGTGCCTACTCTCTGTCACAGATTTCTTCAATAGTGTAATTGCCCATATTCTTATGTAACTAGAATTTATAGGAGCGATGGGTTATTTTTTCCTCAGGAAGTCAGTAATTGTCAATTTCCCTGCCATTAAAACCTGTGATCACCTAATCGTTGTTGTTTTTTTTTTTTTTTTTTTTTTTTTTTTTTTTTTTTTTTTTTTTTTTTTTTTTTTTTTTTCCTTTTTAATTCTGAGATTCCAATTACTAGTGATTCCAAGGGGATGAATGTATGGTATGTTATAGTCTATTATCTTTTCTTACCATTGCTCTGTTTTTACCCTTTTCCTGGAAAATGACAAAGCAGTGTCCAAAATCTTCTCTGCTTGCTCATCATCTTGAAAGTTCTTGACATATTATCTTCAAGTTCTGGCATGACTGAGCTCAGACCATCAAGCAATTTTTTTTTTCCTTCAATAGAATGGAACTTCCTTCTATTCCCCAGTTACTCCTTCATTTACTTTTTTCCTTTCTTCCCTGCACTTATGCTATCTTCTACTGTTCCATTAACATTTACATGCTAGAAATTTTAACCATTTTTACAGTGCATTCCTCAAATCATCTGGACTTCCTCAAGGCATCTTCATATCACATTTTTCTTCATGAGAGGGGTTTATCTTGCAGAAGAACCTAATCCAGAGAAAAATTAATAAGAAAAAAAAAAAAGTATTTTCATCTCAGATCGCTTTCTTTTTAGGTTTCTTTTTTTTCTTCTTCCTCTTTTTTCATTTTTAGTAGTTCTCAAGCTAGAGAAATCATGCAGTGATTTTTGTTGGTGGCAGTCATTGTCTCAGTCTGTCTTTACTTGCCCTCAACACATGGTTTAAACAGCCTGTCCAGGCCCATACCTCAGCTCCCTTCACAACCGAACATAATGAAATACTCGGGCAAATGGCTGATCCATGAAGGAACGGATACCTGAATCTCCACTTACCTGGTCACTGGAACAGAAAACTAAGGTATAGATGACACTAAGCACAAAAGTTGTAATCACAAAACAGAAGGAAAAAGGAAACTTCGCTAATAATCCGTCAGTAGCAGGTGCCAGAGACTATAATAAAGAACAGTTGATTCTCCGTTTGGCAAAGTGTGATAGCTTGGGACCAGAAATAAACACAGTGAGAATGAATGCAAGGCTAAAGCTGCTGAAAGATGAACTGCTGAAGACTTGTTATTAAATATATTAATCTTGTCTGAGAATTTTCCATAAAACTATTTTGTAGGCAGACCTTGCAGGTATAGGAGTTCGGTAGCTACAAGAGGAGTGGTCCTGGAGGAGGTCAGCAAGAAGTTTCACACATCAAACTGTGGCTCAAGATGTTGACTCACTATGTCAGATTTGAATTTAGTTGTGGTGATTTAAGCTATTTTACACCTACACCAGCTTGACTATCAAGAGTTTAGGTTACTTTGGGGGGAAGAAAACTTTGGTGAGTCAAGTTCCTTTCTATCATGTCAGCTTGAGGAACAAGAGCCAGCAAGCAGCAGGACAGACAGGAAAGGGTATTCAAAACATATTTAAAGCATAAAGTGTACTCACACACTGTAGCTGAATTTCCAAGGCACTGTGAGTGCTCTGTTTTTCCTTCTTTGAGCTCAAAATATGTACCTAGGGTTTTGGTTCTGTTTGGTAAGAAAAGTGACTTTCAGACACTGATGCTGTGTTTACCTTCTGAAAATCCCTAGTTGGATCCCAGGAACCAGTTATGCTGCAGGGGAGAACAGAAGCAGCTTAAAGGTAAGAGGAGCTCGATCCTTAACGTGCTTGGCCATTCCTAAGAAAAATGTTAGGCGCCCTCAGTACTTCAAATCTGATCTCCTTTAGTCACTCTGTCTCTTTCAGTTTATAAAATTTCCAGAGGTTGTGCCCTTCAAGGAAACCCCAAGAAGAGAACTGCATAATGTGCAAGAATGATCTGTTTTAGGAAAAGCATAAACAAGCACCTTGCTATCTGAATCAATGGTATTTCTTAACATGCAGTGAATCTACGTCACATTTTGAAAGGAGCTGCATGTCAGCAGAAGCCTTTCAGACACTTAATGGCTGCAGAGGTATTTCTGTGTGCTTTAATGTTCAGGAGTAGGAAACTGAAACTGTCATTCTGTGGAGACTCGCCGTAAGAGCACTATATGCTTGGCAAGGCTTCTTTTCTTGAAGCTCTCACACTGAAATGGTAGTTGCATTTCAGAGGATCATAATTCTCAAGGATTTTTTAAGTGTCATCTCAACAGATCTGAGGTATCATTTCTTCTTTTAAATACTACTATTCTCAACCCCCTCCCCCCCCTCCAAACCAAAGATGAAGCATTAGATTTTCAGGACTTTGAAATTCCTAACACTTTTCCTGACAATAAAAAGGTTCTGTCTTGCTATTAATAAAACAAATATAATATGTATGCAGTTAAAGCTACTGAAGTTGTGAACCTTATAGTCACGCATATACTTTTACATATATATGTATCTATATCTATTTGGAAATTGTTCAGGAAATCAGGAAAAGTGAGGCCACTAAAATGTCTCCTTAGAACATAAAAGAGAAAAATCTTTTCTCTTGCTGACGCTTTTTTGCTAGGATTCTTTTGCCCAAGAAGGCAAACACTGCAGTTTGGAAATGCCACCACAGTGTGTCATGGGAGTTATGCTTTGGACACCTTCTGCTGACTTTTACCTCTCCTAACGTGGATTCCCAGACCAGGCTGCAACTTTCTCATTTCTCTGATTACACATTTTCCCCAAATGCCTAACATAACTATTCACTTGTCTCCAGTGAGCTATACATTTTTTAATTTAAATTCCAGGATATAACATATACAGTGGCAATGAGTGAATATCCTAATGCAACTTTGTTAAAGATGGGTTATTCATGTAATCCACTGCTCACCAGAGAGGTCATGCTTTGAAATTTTATGTTAAACTGATATTATTACAAGTTGCAAAATTCTTGCTTTAATAGTGTTATGGTTGGACTGATCGGATGACAGTGATAATAATCTACAGTTCCTAAAAGAGTGAAATGAAATCAATCTGGATTCAGTGGAGTCTCTTTCTTATATCTCTTTCCTATGATATTTGGATTTTGGCTCCAATTTGGCTGGAATAATATGTACTCTCATACGCAGGCAATATGTACTCTCATATTATTCTAGTTTAATTATGTTACATAAGTAAAAATTGGACTTCACACTAAAACTCTTGAAAACATTCTATTTTGCCTTTCCTATCACCTTCACATTTTTTTTTTCTAAATAATCATGCTGCTATTTCCTTTGTATCCAAAAGACAATTTCACTTTAACTAGTTATTTAGAAATTGCACAACCATGAAAAGATTTTGAACTAAAAATACTGAGGAATATTTCATCTGTGCGCAGGGAGAAGCAACGTTATGATTGTAAATCAGTGAGATTAGGTTGAGACCCCAATTTTGGCAGGTAGGTGTTCTTGTTAGGAGTCCATTACTGGTTTAAGGAGTACTAACCAG